CAGTCCATTTCAGCTCACTAATGCCTAAGATATCAATGTTTATGCATTCCATTTCATTTTCACAATTTCTAATTATCCTAGAGTCATACTTCTTATATATGTTTGTGGGATATATAAATATGTTCATATGTTCCACTTTTCCTCCCAGACCCTGTGTCTCTGTCCATATATCTATACATAGAACAATGTTCCAAAGTTGTGAATAACTCACTATTTACCTGTATCCTGTTTAGCCCTCACATACCTCCCTGTGGTTCTGTCAGGCATCAGTGGCTGTTCTGATCCTTCCCTGGCTTAATCTCACTCAAGATGGCAGCTCCGGGAGAAGCTTAGCATCTTGAATTAGAAGGTAATGGATTTCTTGCTTCTGCTACAAATTCCCCTAGCTGTAAGCCTTCCAATCTTCTAAATATTCCTTTATATGTGGTTCAGAGTTCTGGCACCATGCCCTGAGCCTGCTTGGTCCGGTATTCTGTATAATTGCTGATGGAGCTCCTCACTGCACTTCCACCCAATCCACCATCTTGTTTGTTATCTCAAATGTACCTGTTTTAAGAATACACTTAGATGCATCTTAACAAATGTACAAAGGGCTTCAAAACGTTTTTAGAAAAATTCCATTTTCCTTTCATTGCATTTTTCCACCAACATTTTGAAACCCTCTCATATACATCTGGAATCCTGGTGTGGCATGTGGGTTAATGTGTTGGACTGCAAAGTCGTATGAGTTTCAGGGTTAGTGGTTCAAGCTCACCAGTTGCTCCTTGGAAACAGTATACAGGGTCACTATGGGTCGGAACCGACTTGACGGCACTTAACAACAACAACAACAACATATACATCTGTGTAACCATTGCCCCAGCAAGATGTAGAACATTTTAATCCTAAAAAATTCCACATAATCTCTTTTCCAGCCAATACCTCAATAAAAGGAAACCACTGATCTGATTTCTATCACTATAATTTAGTTTTGTCTGTTCTAGAAGTTCATGTAAATAGAGTCATGCAGAGCCTTTGCAGGGTATAGGACCTTAGGTGGAATCCTGAATCCCATCCAGAACCTTATGAGGTGGGACATTTCCACAGCAAGGACAAGCAAACCAGCTTGGAACAGCTAGAGCAACAGAGGATACATCTTCAAAGAAAGATCATCAGGAAAATCCCAAAACCAAAAATGTCAGCATGACTGGCTACCACAAGAATAAACAAGCTGTTCACCAGGAAGCCACCAAGGCAAGCAATCAAGATCCTTCAGGACAAACTCCCTTCTAAGACTGAAACGCAAAGGGAACACATGAGCAGGCATGTAAGCTTGCTGATGGCCACATTGGTCTACTGGTGCGTGGAAGAGGGGGCAAGGCATCAATGAAGAAATGGTCTGAGTTCAACCACAGCCCATTGACTCTTGTTGACCTGGATATAAGAGAGAGACAAGGAAGGGCTGGTTGGTTAGAATGTGGCAAGACCTGGAGTTACCTGAGCCCATGGACAAGGACATAGCCACAGAGAGCTAGAGCTGAGAGTGAAGTATCCAGCTGATATGAAGTGAGGGGAGATGCACAAGAACACCCAACTTTCAGATAGTACCCATTGGACCTAGCCTCAATGGCTTGGTCATATGGGTACTGTCTAATCAGAACTTGACTAGAGGAAGATTAAAAAAAAAAAATTTGTTTTTTGATAAAGGAAACAAGGGTAAATTGCTACAATTTGATGAACCTGACCTATACTCTTGGAGGTAGAAACTAAATACCAATAGAGAGGGGATGGTGTCTTCACATCAAAGTATCAGTGCTATCCCCTCTGTACACGGGGTAGATAGGGATGGGCAACTTAGACATTGGCTACCTAAAATAGGGGGAGGAGGGCTATAAAAGCACGAAGTGACTGGCTTCCAAGGTTCCATAATGGAGTTTAGTTTAAGAGTGTGTGGGTGAAGAAAGAGTCCCCACTGAATAGTTTTCATCTTGTCTAGATGGGTCTGGTGAAAAGAGTTGGGGATAAAATTCTTATCATTCAATAGTGAGTAATTGTTATCATGACTAATTGTGTCGGTAGAAGTTTTGTAACAAAAACAGGGAAGTGGTTAATCTTACAGTCCAGAAACAGAGGACCCTAGGACCATCAAGGGAGAAGAGCACAAGCAGAATGCGGGACCTTATCCAGAGAAGCAGTGATGCCAGAGATGGAAGCAGAGATGGGGACATGGATGGAAGGAGTGGCCGAGGACTCTAAATTTATGGGAAGAGAGGGACTAAGAGCTGGTGGCCAGGAGGCAGACTTGCAGAATGTGCCCTTTGGAGTTGTAAATTTTTATACATGCTTGAATGTTGTTGTTGTTGTTTTTAAAGGAGCTAAAGTGAATAGTGAGAAACACTGTTAACTGACAGTACATGGAGGGAATTATAATCATTATAATGAAACAAGGTGTATGATTTGTTGAATGTAAAACTGATGATCTGCTCTGTAAACTTTCACTCAATCCACAATTGTTATTGTTATGTGCCGTGGAGTCAGTTCTGACTCATAGTGACCCTGTACAGGTTTCGGAGGCTGTAAATCTTTATGGAAGCAGAAAGCCTCATCTTTCTCACGTGGAGCAGCTGGTAGTTTCGAACTGCTGACCTTGAGGTTTGCAGCCCAATTCATAATCACTATAAAAACCTGATGGCACTTAACAACAACAATAAAAACCTTTAAAAAAAAGGGGGAGGGGGTGTTTAAGGTAAATACTGACTGTTGAAAACAAAAAACTATGGTACTAAAGGAAGAAGTCCAAGCTACACTGAAGGCACTGTTGAAAAACAAGCCTCCTGGAATTGACAGAACACAAATTGAAATCTTTCAGTTGATGCCACACTAGAAGTGTTTACTCATCTATGCCAAGAAATTTACAAGTCAGCTACATGGCTACCTGATCAGAAGACATCCATAGGTTTGCATACCATTTGCTAATTTGCTTCTCTTTGCTAGCTTCTTGAAGTGGAAGTTTAGATTATTGATTTAAAATTGTTCTTTTTTTTAGTACTATCTGAGGTTAGCCATATAAATTGCTTAATAATATTGCGTCATATCCCATAAATATTGCCCATTGTATTTTTTATTTTATTCAGTTTGAAATAATTTCTAATTTTCCTTGTAATTTCTTCTTTGATTGATAGATAATTAATAAGTATGTTGTTTAATTTTCCATATATTGGGGAATTTCTAGTTATGTTTTTTGTTGACTTCTGGTTTAATGCCATTACGGTCCTTTGAAATTTGAGACTTTTTTTATAACCCAAAATATGGTCTATGTTGGTGAAGTTCTTCATGTATTTAAAAAGTATGTGTTTTTGTAGATTTTGGGTATAATAGTCTAATTATGCTCTATAACTGTTCAATAAGATCAGGTTTTAGATTGTTGTTCATATATTGTACATTCATATCTGATTTTTTTGTCTGCTTGTTCTATCAATTACAGAAAGAACATTTTAAAATCTCTAAAGGAGCTCTGGTAGCGTAGTGGTTACGAATCGAGCTGCAAACCGCAAGGTCAGCAGTTTGAAACTACCAGCCGCTCCTCGGGAGAAAGATGAGGCGGTCTGCTCCCGTAAAGATTTACAGCCTCGGAAACCCCGTGTAGGGTCACTATGAGTCGAAACCGACTCCACGGCACACAACAACAACAAATTTTAATTGTGAAAAAAAGGTACAGTTTATTTTCAATTATTTGTTGTTGTTAAGTGCCTATAATTAGGTTCCAACTCACATTGACCCTGTATAGGGTTTCAGAGAAATGGATCTGAACGCTGACCTTGGGGTTAGCAGTCTAGTGCTTATCCTACAGCGCCACACCAGGAGTCCATTTGAAATTCTACTTCATGAAACAATGTAGAGTTGGATGGAAGGCAAAAATAGATGAGGTCCGTAAGGGTGGCAGCGTCCATTCCATGTAGAACCGTGTACGGTTATGTCACAGGGTGAGTACTTCTCCAGTCGAGGATGGAAGGTGACATCTGAGCTGACGTTTTCCTGATGGGCATTTCGGGAAGATCTCTCTGGCCATGGGAAGGATTAAGTTCGAGGAAAGGGAAGACTTGAGTTTCCATAACATGAAGAAGAAATTCACTTTTTTTCCCCCCCTGGCTAAAAGGACCTGCGGTCTGGCCTAGCCTACTGTGAGTTTTAGACTACCTGCCCTCCTTCACTCTTGTCCTTCTGCAGCTATGGCTGTGCCAGGTTGACCTTTTCAGCTCAGACCTCACCTCAGAAGAGGCCTTCCTTCCAGACACACTTAACTGTCATCCTTCTTTCCTCTGATTCCTTCTTACCATGAAGGATTTACTTCATTTAATCCTTATTTACTTATATATTCTAACCTCCCCTCTTCCCCCAACCAATCTGGGAGCTCCATGAGAGCAAGGATTTTGTCTATCGTGGTAATCACTGTGCTCACAGCTCTTAGAATAGTGCTTGGCAATAGGTTGGCTCTTAATAAGGGATAAGGAATCTGTTCAGGGAATTGCGGAAGCGCTTTCTCCGGGCAGAGCAGATCCTAACCACATGGGAGGGGTAAGGGCGGTGGTTGCGACTGGATACAGAGTGACAGCGCGGCCTTAGGCCCCGCCCCAGCCCCGGCCCGGCCCCGCCCATGTTCTTGCCTTCCTCCATAAAGTTCATTCGGCGGCGTGCCTCGCAGGGGCTTCTGGGAGCGGCTGTCCTCGGCCAATCAGGAATCGCTAGTGAGCGGCGCGAGAAGCGGCGGCCGTGTTCTCAAGCCGGGACCTAAGCGGTGGAGACGGCGGAAGCACCAGGTAAGGGCGCCTCGGTCAATTTCCTTCGACCTGGGGGTTGTCCTTGAACGCTGGGCCTCTCGGCTTGGCGGAGGTCTGCCCCCTAAGCTTGGAGCCTTGTCGCACATACTTCCCGTTCTCCTCATGGCAGCCAAGCACGCCTGACGCTGTGACACAACGCCCTGTTGAAGCGCCCCCTTTCCCCCCTCCATTATAGGGTTGGGTTGCACACCTGGGATGCCTTTTATCAGCCCTCTTTGAACACAGAACCTTGTCCTCTAGGTCCCCTCCTCCCCCGTTCTAGCGCTGGTAGCAGCGCACCACGCCCCCACACGATGTCCCCTCTCTGTCACAGCACCCCGCCTGATACCCCCCCAATCCCGCCCTGCTGATTCTCTGGCCCCCGGAGATTACACCCTGACGGGAAGCATTACCTCCTAATGGAAGGAGCCTTTGAAGAGGAAAGAGACCAACCCGCGAAAGCCTCACCCATCCCTTGGCCTTCCTTCTGTACTGATACTCGGATGGTTATCATTCAGGGAGATGCTGGCGATTGGAAATGGGAGTGATCCTTCCGTTTTCTGGGCGTACAGCACCTGCAGAGGCAATGCCTGGGTTTTACTGGCTCCCTTTGAAAAAATTATTGGTCCGACTCAGGGGTCTTTGGTCAAGGTTTGGAGGACGAGTGAACAGAGCCGACTAGTCACATTTACTTCACAGCCAGGTGTGGGAAGGCGGTTTTGGGTTTTTGTTTCGACTGATGTCTTTGAGTATCTCAAATGCTGATGGTCGACCAGATTTGGGGCTAGAGGGTTTCTCAAGCTTGTAACTTGTATCTTCCAAACATTCTTCTTGGTGAATTTGTGTTTGTGACAGTTCCATCTTTCACTCAAGGTGATTTCATCCAGGCGCTTAGCCTTAAATACCTGGGTATTAGGCTAACAGATTTCAGATTGATATCCAGCCTGGGCCTTCCCCTGACCTTTAACTTCCTACTTGATATCTATTGAGATGTGTAGTAGGAAACTCAAACTGGTCTCAAAAGCTCCCCTCCTTCTCCAAATTGCTCCTTTTGTTGTGTTTCTCATCTTAGTAAGATGAAAGGCAGGCCCGTTCTTTGACTAGCTCCTCTGGTAATAACCTTGAGTCGTATTGATTTCTGCCTTTCTATCTTACTCTCCATCCAATGCTTACCATCCTGGGCCAAGTAACTGCCACCTGTTACCTGGATGATTGAAATTACCTCCCATTTGGTCTCTCTGCTTTTACACTGACCCCATTCTCAGCACAGTAGCTGGAGGGATCCTTTTAAGGCAGGCCAGCTCCTATGACTCCTCTACTCAAAAAACCCTTGAATGGGTCCCCATCTCATTAATAGTAAAAGGCAAACTCCTTACAGTGAACCCCAGGATTTTACACAGTCTGACTCAGTATTGCTTTTTCTGTCTCTTTTGCTACTGCCTGCCCTCCTTAACACTTGCTTCAGGGCCTTTACATATGTTGTTCAGTAATCATGTGCTTTATTGACTATGCAAAGGCTTTTGATTGTATGGATCATGATAAGCTATGGACAACATTGCAAAGTATGAATATTCCGGAACACTTATTTGTGCTCATGAGGAATCTGTACCTGGACCAAGAAGCAGTTGTTTGAACAGAACATGGGAACACAGAATGGTTTAAAATTAAAAAAGGTGTGTGACAAGGTTATATTCTTTCACCATACTTATTCATCCTGTATGCTGAGCAAATAATCCGAGAAGCTGGATTATTAACATTAACAACCTGCGATATGCAGATGATACAACCTTTCTTGCTGAAAGTGAAGAGGACTTAAAACATTTACTGATGACAGCCTTCAGTATGGATTACATCTCAATGTAAAGAACACAAAAATCCTCACAAACTGGACCGATAAACAACATTCTATCAACGGAGAAAAGATTGAAGTTGTTAAGGACTTTATTCTTCTTGGATCAACTATCAGCACTCAAGGAAGCAGCAGTCAAGAAATCAAATGGCGTATTGCATTAGGCAAATCTGCTGCACAAGACCTTTTTAAAGTGTTGAAGAGCAAAGATGTCAGCTTGAGGACTAAGGTGCACTTGACCCAAGCCATGGTATTTTCAATAACCTCCTATGCATGCTAAAGCTAGACAGTGAATAAGGAAGACTGTAGAAGAATTGATGCTTTTGAGTTATGGTGTTGGAGGAGAGTATTGAAGGTGCCATGGGCTGCCAAAAGAACCAATAGATCCGTTTTGGAAGAAGTGCGGTCAGAGTGCTCCTTGGAGGCCAAGATGACCAAACTTCATCTCTCATACTTTGGACATAATGTCAGGAGGGACCAATCACTAGAGAAGGATATCATGTTTGGTAAGGTGGAGAGTCAGAGAAAGAGAAGAATACCTCCAGCGAGATGGATTGGCCATGTGGTAGCAACGATGGACTCAAGTGTGGCAACAGAAGTGAGGTTGGCCCAGGATCGGGCAGTGTTTCATTCTACTGTACATAAGGTGGCTATGGGTGGGTAACAACTCAATGGCATCTAACAACAAAAATCATGGCTTGCTCTGTTCACTTCTTTCAGGCCTTTACTCAAGGGTTACTTATTAAGGCTGGACTGCTAACTTCAGCCAGTTCAAACTCAACAGTGGGAAATCCTGGTGTGGTGCTGTAAGATGAGCACTAGACTACTAACTGCAAGGTTGGTGGTTCAAATCCACCAGCCACTCCTTGGAAACCATATACAGGGTCACTATGAGTTGAAACTAGTTAACTTAACAACAGCACTTAAAAACAACAAAAACAACAAGGTAACCACTAGATTAGCCATTTAAACCCACTAGCAACTTCTTGGGAGACAGTTGAGATTGTCTGTTTCCTTAAAGATTTATAGTCTCAGAAACTCTATATAGGGTTGCTGTGAGTCACAACTGACTTGTTGGCAGTGAGTGTTGGTTTTGGGTGTCTTCCTTAATTGCTTTGGGTTTTCTTGTTAGCATTCATATTTTTCATATTTAGTTTATGTATTCTTTGTCTCCCCCTCTAGAATGAGCACCCCAATAGACGGGAATTTTATCTGTTGTGTTCCCTGTGTATTCCAAGTACCTTGTCCTGGCGCACAAATGAAAAAACGTAATGCCATCAAGTTGGTTCTGATCCAATGACTGGTATAGGGCTTCTGAGGGTATAAATCTGTATAGGAGCAGAAAGCCTCTCCTTTCTCCCACAGAGTAGCTGGTGGGTTTGAACTGCTGATCTTGTGGTTAATTTGTTGTTGTTGTTAAGTGCCATCGAGTCGGGTCCGACCCATAGCGACCCTGTACAGGGTTTCCGAGGGTGTAAATCTTTACGGGAGTAG